TGACTCAGATCATTATAATTGCTGATGCTTCCACTGGTAAAATTACATTGGTTTTACCTGGGACAATTTTAAATTAGGGTCAGATATAGCCCCCTATGGGCCCTGTCTATTTTCTACATTGTATTTGCACTAAATGAAAGCTCTCTGGGCTGCCTTTTAACTTCCCTTTAATTTTATAACCTGTGCTTGATACTAGAAACAATGAATAAGGAATGATGTTGGGTGACCTATATGGCAATGTATACATTGATAGGTTTAATTACTAAAGGCCATAAGGCTGTTCACTTTGCAAGGGGATTTTCTCTTTGCTGACTTCCATTATCCAATCATGCAAGAAAAATTCAGGTTTTTTTTATATTATACTTGCTCGTGATTGGGTATTCTATGAAAAGTGAATTTTCACCACATTTACCAAGATAAGTGGAAACTCCCTGGCAAAGTAAACAGTTAATTTGCCTTTAGTATATCAGCCCTGTGTGACAGGGTAACAACACAGGAGCCCAATTGGGAGACAAAAGCAGAGTGCAGTCACCCTATAACAGGAAGTACCTGAACAAAGACCTCCATGCTTTGATTATATCAGGCATTATATTAATGAAATCCTCATATTTATAATATAGAAAACGAGTTTTGAAATTGCATTATCATGTTCACGATTATTTCAGATTTTAGTGATTAGATTTACATATACTTTAAGCCCCAGGCCCAGTGTCTGCATGTGCTTAATAGGAAATCCATCCTTAATTGTGAGCTGAATTAGTCTTCTCATGGACCCATCCTAGCCTTGACTTTGGGATTGTATTAGGTTTCTGTCCGGTTTGACAATCTTCTATTAATTTTCAATTGAAGGGATCTATCTGTTTAGAAGTCTCCTGACCTTGTATTAGCTGACACCCAGCTATATTGCCCTGGTACTAAAATAATATTGAGATAGTGACCTTGAAGGTGAAAAAGTGAAGCAAAATAAATATGATGTCTTTGGGTCAGTAAATTATCTTCCTTAAATGTTTTTGTTCATGTTAAGTGATTATATTTTCAATCTGAACAAAGTAAGCAAAACCAGAACTGGCTATACATTGCTGAACTTTGCAACTGATCCAAGCTTTGCTTGCAATAATGTAGTATTACAAGAGCTGCCAGCTGAAAAATTACAAGCATTTGCATGCCACAGTAGTACTTGTAATTGATGATAAAGATATTCCAGAATACCTCAGATTTAATTAAAGATCAGTACTTCCCTGAAATGCGATTGGAACCATCACCGTGTATGTGTTAATAAAATAAATCTTCCTAGTCAGAAGAGAAAGTCAGTTAGTTAGTTATTTGGGGTGATTGGAGTCCATTGCAAACACTGGCAGTTCTGTATATATAGTACCTTTTCTACTTGTAAGCCCTCGCCCTTGGGAGCAGGGTAAGCGGAAGGCAAAAAGTCTCAGTTTTTTCCTATTTTGTTTCATTTTTCTTTCCTCCCCTGCACATTTGTGACTAAATTCAGCAACACAAAGCCGTGACATATAAATATACTCTAGAAAATCTGAGCGCACCACTTGGGAGCCTGTAAATCATTCTGAAATATCAGAGTCCCTTAGCAATTAAAAAAAACAAGCAAAAATGTGTTAATCTCTAAAAACTTAAACTTGCCCTCTGTATCACCATTGAGGAATACAGGTCACGGTTTTGTGATAAATTGTAACTGAGAACTCAACTCCCTACTGATTTTTATCCAAATGATCACGAATCTGAGAAATTTGCAGGGTTGTCAAAAATGTGCAGCTAATGTGCTATCTACTTTTGTTGTTGATTCTCCTTTTTTATTTAAATATAGTATCCTTAATTGAACGTCTCTGTCTTTCGTATGCCGGAGAAAAAAATAAAATCTTTACCCTTGTCAGATATATATATATATATATATGAATTTAAAGAGCAAAATAAAATGTAAAAAGGAAATGCCCTTCTATAGTGGTCTTTTTAGATAATCTGTTACAATGCATTAAGAAATTTGCATCTTTGCCAGGAGTTTCTACCAAAAATAAGCAAACAAAGAAAAAATTTAAGGTATCTATGAAAATGTGATTGCTTATGAAAACTGAGCAATCACAAGTGTCAAATATTGAGATACTGATCTCTCAATTTGGAAAAGTGTCAGGTGAATCATATTGTCTTCTAGCTACATTGATATTTCTGTGGGTTTTTTTTGCGATACTTTCAAATAGAATATGCAAACTGTCCATAGGAATATGTGGTAATGCATGTAAAATATGTCTAAAAAATCATTCTACTGCTACTGCACCACCTGAAAAATGCTGGGGCACGGATGTGGCTTAAATAAGTCACAAAAGGGTGAAGATTTTGGAGAAGGCAGGAGAAGTCTACAATCTAGGACTGCATTATAGTGAATTATTCAAATTTTTCAAATTTACAGCCCAGCTCCGGACCAAACTTTTTTTTTTTTGTTTTGAACATGGTGGGAAGGGTTCGGACAGTCAGGTTTTTATTGCTTCCTGAAACCCCATTGATGGGATTTCCTCTCACATCCTGTCCTGATGGGGAAAGGCAGCGATTGAAAATCTCTCCAGTGGAGAAAGAGACTGAATTCTCACAATGGGGTCATAGACATCAGTACAAACCTCACAGAAGTTATAATTCTTACCATCTGAACAAAACGTTTTGGCTGTAAAAAAAAAATAAAACTATTTATAATCTTCAAAGATCTATGTGTATGACATACTTTATTGTATACAAAAAAGATATTCACATGAGTTGTGATATGCATTTTCTGCAGTGTAATTGCTGTGATTTTATCATTTGGAACTTGGCCTACTATAAAACATTAAGACCACCAGGGTGGTTTATCCACGGTAGAGAGAAATCTTTAAAATGTTTTAGCACGTGTCACATAGTTCTATGAGATTAAAATATTCTCTTGGTGCATTCAGTTATTTGTTTTATGAATTTATCTGACATTCCTGTGTGCTTTACATTACAGCTCAACATGATGGGAATATCACCAAGTGGCATGAAGCCTATTTCCAAAAACCAAAACCATATTTTACAAATGAAGGCATTCCAAATCCAACGTGTCCTGATGGGGCAAACCGTTTCTTCAGCAAGCAGGAAGTATATGTCATTGGAGCTGACAATACCTGCATGTTACAGGAATTCTGTAATGGACCCTTAAAGCCAAGGAAACAGTATATGTATGTTTTATAAAGACATGATACAGTAACATGTTATTTTTACAAACATGCTGTTGTCTTCAATGTTTTTGCTTGTCTAAAGGCATCCTGGGATACTAAGCCTTGCCATTTATCATGATTGCTTAAATTGAGCGATTGACTCAATGCGGAACGTTTGTCTTATGGTATATGCGATATATATAGATGATCTGGGCTTTATATTAAATTAAGACAACAGTGTACAGTATATACATTAAATGTAATTTTAATGACTTTCAAGGAGCATAGCATAACCAGCCTACAGGAGCTAATTGACTCACTCATTAAAAAGCAGCTGCTTTGGTAAATAAAGTCAGTCTTTGATAGTTGCTTCACCGCATGTGAATTAGTGAAGGATTGATAACTTAACACCTCTTCAGTGAAACATCCCTGGGGAACTTCCCCATCTCATTGTTTTCCTATTAATAGCTTCCTATCTAGCCACATCAGCAGGGTTACAGAGTTTTTCACCCATAACAACTGTATTGGGTGTGCCATGTAATCATACTGTTGCACATATAAATCCTATATCAGAGTAGTGGTGCAAAAATCTGTCAATAAAAAGGTAGCAATACCTACATATAGTTATACATACTATGGGGTCTATTCACAAAGCTGCTGAAGGATCTGGCCGTAGCTTCGGCCGATCCTTCGGCTAGCTTCGGCCCCAGAACCCCCCAGGAAAATGTTTGTATGCCACTGGATGCACTGCAGCCTATGCAGAGACCCCTTTCAAAACCAATCTTGGTGGAAAAATTGATTACACATAATTACTTTTCATGGACAATAACTAGTGTTTCACTAAGTTAAGCCTGTCTGCTTAATGCACATTAGACCAATGGTAGTCAGAATTCCAACCATGATTGCAAATCTTTTACTAGCTTATAACTTGCCCTGCTAACTGGTTATTTACAAATTATCAGAAGACCATGTGTTTGGGTGCCCTAACAGCAAAGTCCAGCAGCTGAACAAGTGTCCTGCTTTTGTTACCATAAACATACAGATCCTACTCAGTCTCCTGTAAAAGTAATCTGATCTTTTACATATGTAACCATATACAGATACAGCCAATGTTGGCCATTCTATGCATTCAGCATTTGCAATGATATACAGTTCGCATCAACAATGTCTTTATGCAGCTGTAGCTAACATCTTCGGCCTAAGATTTGTAAATGGATATACAGTATGTTGTTGTTGAAAGTCAGGGCCATTCCATGACAGACTGAAATCGTCAAACATTAAGTGCAAAACCAACACCTCTCCAAAACAAAACACATACATGCTCTGTTCCTAAGGGGTTAAGGGGCTGTGTTGCTGAATGGGTTAAATAACCAACAGTAATATTTTATATTTGTATAATGTAACTTCTGCTACTGCAGTGCTGATAAGAATGCAGACTATTTTTTTTGTATGATGTTTACATTCTGCTTCTTTTTTTCAATAGATTTAAATTTAGAGCTACAAATTTTAAAGGACAGTATACAGACTCTAACTATTCAATTCCTATCAAAACATTAGGTAAGACTATATAGATGGCAGAACCTATGTTAATTTGAACTTTGAAAATGTGATATACTGTAGTATAGGTTGTGTCTAGCAAAATGAAATACTGTTCTGGACTGAATTATTGTGGTTGATTTACTAAAGGCAAAGCTTGTGCATTATGGGATGATGGATGTCAGCAGAGCCAAGGGAAAATTATCTTGAAAAGAGAACAGCCTATTTACCTTTAGTAAATCAACCCCGTTGTTTTATGTCAGAGAAACATACTCTTAAAACAAATAGCTATGAGGTTTTTTTTATGACATTGGAGTTGTGGTGTTTCACTAGTGTGTCCTCCAATTCCTGTGTGCAGCAGTTTAGGTACACTTTGTATAGGGTGCAATGATAATCATCCTCCTAGGACACCTTTTGACTGTGCCAAAATCCTGCTGTTTTCAGCACACACATATAAAATAGGACATTAATAATTTTCTGCAAATGTCTGCAAGTTTAGAAGCTGGCATCTCAAATTTACATGATTCATAAGTTGTATCTGCATGAAGTGCACCAGGAATAAACAACTTCTGAAATGTCCCAGACACAAGCTCTGTGTACACGGTCATATGTTTCATCGGAACTGCATTTCTCCCCATACAAGTCAATTGAAATGAAAAGCATCCCTAATCTGCTTGAAACACCTTGGAAGGAGGTCAAATGCATGTTAGAAGAAAGGAGGTCAACTGCAAGTCAAATACATCTATGCAAGGATTCTGATGGAATGCAGAAGCACTTCAAACGTATCTCAAAAGCAAGCTGAATGCGATTGAAAGCACACATTTGCACTTCAATACAAGCCCATAGGCTGCCAACACTATAGAGGGCAGTAAAACGAATTTATTCAGGTGACTCATGGACTTGAATTGTGAGAAGGAGTAGTAAAGCACAAACACTGTGTAGCAATGCAAAGCAGGAACTGGAGCCTATAAGTGCGTAATAAACAAATATGGTTTCCCCACGCACATTTATAATTACAAACTGTACATGGAAACAAAGATTTAAAACACACATTGATAGCATCTTTCATGCTCATCTATTTTACATGTTATATATATAAGAACATTGAAAGCATTGTTAGATGTCAGTAAGGGCCTGTTCTCATCAAAATTCACCAAAAATATAAGTCAACGGAGGTCCATTGACTTGCAATTTAAACCTCTGTTGATATCTGCTGCATTGTGTTGTGTTGCTGTTTTTAAAAACATTTTTTGACAATCTTTATTTTAATTAACATGTCCTGAGTGGACATATTACTTTTTTTTTACTTGCATTTCGTTGTCTTGCGTTTACATCTGTTTTTGATGCATTGTTTTACGTTGTGTTGAACAAATGTAGAGCATGCTCTACTTTTTCCAGTGCACTGCAACACAAAGTAGCAGTGTGAACTGGTCCCTTTCACACCCATATATTTTTTGAATTGATCAATCGTGGACCCACGCTATGGGCTGACTAATATTCCCAAACAGCCGCTGTGCTATAAATGTATAATAATGCCCCGATATAAATAGCAAAATAAATTTAGCACTGTGCTCATGAATATATCAAAAATAATGGTGCAATATATTAATATTAGCATTTTTCGGATTACCTTCTGTTGGCATCCGCTGACATCTGTCAGAAGCTTATGGGTTTAGTGTGAATTGGGCCTAAAGCTTCAGCATTGTGCTGCAGCATGTTGAAGAGAAAGTGAGCTGAAACATTTGTGGGAGCTGACGCTGAAGTCCTTTTTTTTTTTATACTTGCACTGATATTTGTATGTATTGTATGTTTGAGTCCTCAATGGAGTTATCATGGGAGATTTTAATCTTTTTTTAAACAATTTGGGGGTGAGTGTGTATGCTAATTTTTAATGATAAAAAAATAACACATAAATAATTAACAAGATACTTCACTGAAGAAAATCCATGAATTGAGTCATTAAAGACACATTCATTTATTATAACACATTTTGCCCTGTAGTTTTAACTATGCTGGTTTACTAAAGGAGTAACGCATGTTCACTTTGCAAGGGAATTTTTACTTTTCTTAGTAAATGTGGTAAAAATCACTTTGCAAAGAATACCAAATCATGTGCAAGGAAAATGAAACAATCTGGATTTTTGCTTGTACCGGATTTGATGATAGAAGTCAGTGCAGCTTTACCCTATTCACTAAGCTAAGAGAAAAATCACTTTGCAAAGTGAACTTGTGTTAGTCCTTTACTAAATCAGCCACAGTGTATATTTTAAGCAATTTTAGGAGGCTTTAAGAGGCTTTAAATACATCAAAGACATTTTAGTGATGTTGTAACAAGATTTTAAATCTCTTTGCCGGTAAAGAAAGGAGTGTCAATGTTGTATTCATTATATGCTTTACAACCATTTTACTAGTAAATCAGAAAGGAATTCTATGTAAAGGCAGTATTTTCAGTGAATGCTGAGCCTATTCAGTTTTTAAAGCAGCAAAGAAAGTACTACCCATGGATCACATTTCTTGAAATGAAAAGGCCAGATACCTTTATTGCAAAAATAATTTTCTTATCTTTAAAAGGCAATAAGTAGTTTCTCGCAATTATTTTCATTTTCCCTACTTGTAATTGGTTTTCCATAAAATTACTAGCCAGTGGGGGAAATTTATCAAAACTGGAGCAGACAGAATCTTGAGCTGTTGCCCATAGCAACAAACCACTGTATATATTTAGTTTATAGAATTAAGCTTTAAAAAGTTAATTGGTTGTCATGCAGCTGCTCCAGATTTGTCTGCTCCAGTTTTGATGAATTCACCTCAATGAGCTTAACTTTAGTATTTTCTAAGGCTAAGTGCAAAAGAGTCATACTGGTTGAATTTTTTACCTTGTTTCTTTATTTACTGATTTAGGGATCTATTCACTAAGCCGCTGTAGGCAGCCGAGTGACTAACCGACCCGAAGCGAAGTGAGCCAAATGCTGTTCGGCTATTCACTTCAGGTTTGTGCGGCTGATTCCAGCCGTATATCGGCTGCAATCAGCCGTACATCGTCTTAATCTTTCTTCTTGTTTATAAAAAAAATAAATATTTTTTTTATAGGAATGCTATAGGTAATATATTAGTTTAGTACACAATTAACCTGGTACAATGGATAAACAAATATAGTTTTAATACTAAAAGAGCCTTTATTTTTGTTGTATAATATCACATTGTTCACTTCTATGGTCCTTTGTACACAAGCATGCATCTATGCATTGGCATGTAAATGACAGTGCAGGTACAGCGTAAAGATGCAGGTTAGTACTTGCATAAAGCCTCCATTATCTTCTATGTTAAACCAAGGCTGTAAACACAATCATTGTACAATGCGTCTTAAAATATACAAGACCTTTACACACACATGCATTAAAAGCTCTCTATTGCATTAATCACAAAGATGTTATATTTATTAAGTGTTCATACTGTATGCACAAGACAGGCAGAAACATACAAGTGTGCAACATAAAAATACAGCATTTGTTCTTCTATGACTTAATTTCTGGTATTTTCGGAAATTCAAATATTACTTCATCTTAGTATTTCCGGAATTCAAATATTACTTCATCTTAGTTTTGCTGTTTCAGTTTGCAGATGCCTCTTAATTAGCTAATAAATCTTAATTTAGCCAATTAGCAATCAGCAAACTCCATGTCTGTTTGGTATAAACTCATAGACAATATATGATCATTGTCCATTCATGGTTAAATCAGACATGTGTTGTGGCATCTATGGGAGCCAACAACCTTAACACCAACCTTTACAAACACACAACACAAGGAAGGGCTACTGGCCTGGCTGTATTTATTAATAAAAATCCTATTGTGTCCTTAAAAAACAAGTGTCATACACATGCTACTAGACTACAAATTGACTACACATCCACCTAGTATTTTATGGCATTGAGATAGAAAGGTATCTCTATCTTTGGAACACAGGCAATACTACTTGATAAACATTTGGTTTTCATTTCCTGTTGAGATAAATTCTGTATGTAAGAACTGTGGTCACTTGGCTACAAAACAGATTTATATCTAAATTTAATTTCCACATTTTTTCAGCTGACGGACTATCAGAACGAGCTGTAGAAATTATCTTATCTGTCACCCTGTGTATACTTTCTGTAATCCTTCTTGTAGCTGCCATCTATGCTTTTGCAAGGTAAGATACTCTTCACTATTGAATATTGAGTAAGGTATCACCTTGTAACTCCTTTACCTTTTACAGGTATTTTTATTCTGTTATAGTTAGATAATTAAATGTTGTTGTATCAGTTATAAACACAGAATGAAATATAGTTAGTGTTCTGTGAATCTCCCCACTGTTGCTTCTACAACAAAAGTTAGAAAGCAATGAACATATGATTTAATGGATGTTAAGATATATGAAGGCTGATATATTTGTATAAAGTAGATTGTGTAACTATAAAAAGAACAGACATGTTATTTATTTATTATACATATTTTACACTAATTTATGAATCTTTATTCACTCATTTATTCATTTATCCATCAATTTTTTTTCCACTTGAATATAAATAGCAAGAAGACACAGTAAGAACATTGCTCACTACTAAGCGCAACATAATTGCTCACATTGATCACGGTTATACACATTGTTGCAGCTGGTGTTTTCACATAGTTTTTCCAGCGCAACTAAATTGGTCAAAGTTGCTGAAACATGTTTTGAATTAATTCTATTGTTTGCTGAATAATTCATAGTATGGCAAATAAAGATTGAATATATAAAATAGGTTGTGACACACATGCGTTAAATATCAAGAAATACTGTTACCAGTACACTCATGTGTGCCAGTCGTAGCCAGAGTGATGTCTCATTAGCAATATATTTTCAGAAAACTCCAGCAAACTAATTGCGTATGTTTGACATTTTTCTTAAGAATTCGACAGAAACAAAAAGAAGGTGGTACATATTCTCCACGAGATGCTGAAATAATTGACACAAAATTTAAGCTTGACCAGTTCATCACAGTGGCAGACTTGGAGCTTAAGGATGAGAGATTAACACGGTAAGCATACTCATTTGACAAAACAGTAGTCCAAAAGGTCATCAGCCATGACCCCACCATGACCTTTACTTGTTTGGAAGTGTTTGTCTTGCTCTTATTTATACAGGTCAGCGATATCCTCTTTCAAAGGCTGACCTGTGTGTTTCAGACACTCAGATTTACAATTAAGAGGTATCGTCCTCTTTCCTTTAACCGCTTTTTTGACAAATATTGAACTTCCATTGATCCCCACTCTAAATTCTTTTTGATTAAAATATGATTTGTGCCAATCTAATGCTAATTTATAGGCTTCTCCATTTGGATACAAAGTGGTAACTAGGCAACATGTCTGACTGACAAAAAACAAAAAAAGAAATACAAAATACCCTTAAAATAAACATCAGCTAATAAGTATTAATCTTTTTTATGATAAGTTATGCACATTTTGGTGTAAGATTATACTTACAATGTAGCTGTACTTTGAAGATCCTCCAGTAAATTCACAGTTACTGCTGTGAGTTTTGATTTTGGAGAATTGGTAACTGAAGTCAATGGATGCAGCACAAAGACATACTGCAACATTAAGTGTTGTGGGTAGATGTGCAACAAATTTGGCTGTGGAGGTGAGTAGTATTTTACAATCAGACCTAAACCTACAGCATAAAACAAATCATTTGGAACATAGACTAATTATGGGTTGAACACTGTGTAAAGGCTCATTCTAAGACTTAACTAATGTTAACATCTAATGAATCTTTTCTATTTTACACACGGACATGCTATATAGTGCCTACATACTACATGAGGAGACTTCTAAGATGATGCTAATAAATGTTTATTCTTGCCAATAAGCTTTAAAAAGTATTAGGTGACACATTAAACGCTCTGAAAGAACTTTCAACTTTGCATATTAGTCCTGCTTCATGACCACCTATTGACAAGGTCATTTCTACTGCCCCAAGGTGCTGAATCATTGACTTCTAATAGATCTGACTAAGCGGGGTTAATGATGAGGAATGACACTCTGCACACTTACAAGAACAAGAACTTGGTGGGATGTTAAGTGTTTTCCATTATTGTGGTTTAAACATACAAAACCACACTTTGCTGTTGCTGTTGATGACACTTTATTTTAGCCTTATTTTAGGTTTTGAAATATTTAACTTATTATACAGTGAATAATATAGATGTCATTGAGATGCATCTGTACATGCATCACTATCAATAAACACTTGTCACATATACTACCTTGTTTAACCTAATTGTCTAACTTAAAATAAACTTATTGCAAAGTCATAAAATGAAAAGCAACTTCACAGCTGCAAGGCAACCACCTTTCCGTTGCTACATATTATGTTTAGTACTACCATGTGCTGCCAATCTGCCTTTAGTGCTCTTAAAGTTGCACATAATGCCTTTTGTAAAAGTCGAGATGTACATATGCAGAGAAACGCCTTAATTTTCACATCTCTAATGTAGCAGGGCTCGGACCTAGTGATAGGTCTTTCAGGTACCCTGTATTGCATTGGGAAATGGGGGAGAAAGCAATCACATATTCTTCATACCTGGAAGTTTGGCTTAATCATAGTGCTTGCAGCAGCAGTGTATCTGTCTGCTATACAGCAGTCAAGTCATTACCCATTGTGTTTTTGAGATGAAAATTTCAGACATGATTCCTGCAGAACCTGTTGGCCTTTAGTATTTTAGTTAAGTAAGCCATCTTTATTTTACTGTCTCCTTTATAGGTCTAGAAGCTGAAGTGATATACCTTTCTTCCCACTGTCATCTATCTATCTATCTATCTATCTATCTATCTATCTATCTATCTATCTGTCTGTCTGTCTGTCTGTCTGTCTGTCTGTCTGTCTGTCTGTCTATCTGTCTGTCTGTCTGTCTGTCTGCCTGTCTGTCTGTCTGTCTAACAGCTGATTCCAATCATTAGATTTACTTTGCAAGGCACAGTTCAATGTAATGGGTTTCATGAATTGGATTAAAAAGTGCTTCTCATTATGGACAGATGCACTGTTCTGACCAGTGGCAATCTAGCACGAAAGTCAAAAATGTCAAACTCTATTCCACCCTCACAAATTTTGTTCCATTCCTGGCATATATTTCCCCATGTACTACCTTACCTGCCACTAGTGTGCACCATGTAGTCACTGTACAGATGCATATATCTCGTTTTGTCCTATCTTGTGTAGGCAGTGTCACCAGGGGTCAAGCTGGCAGCTGGCTGGCAAGAGACTGAGCTTCCTTAGCAGGCAGCAGCAGGCAGGAAATACACATATTGCTTGTGCTATCTCAACCTGCAGCCCCTGAAATTCAGAGGGCTTCCAAAAATCCTGAGATCTAGATAAGGACCTCAGAAGACACTCTTTCACACATTGGTTGACTATAAGCAGTTCAATTAAAGCAAAATATGCTGCCAATGTTAAGCACTGCTTGTGATTAGTCCTAGTTGTGTCTGCAGAGCTACACTGTCATTTAAAGAAAAATATGCTTACCCCATTTTTAAATATAACTGCAATAAGCAAGAAACTATGGGTATTCAGAAAAATACATGAACATATGTTAAAAAAAAGATAAATGCATTTTACTATAATTTAATGTACATCCAATACTTTTTTTATAATCATTAATAAATCTTTACTTCCAGATATTCATCATTTTTCTTTAGACGCAAGGACATATATGTCATTCAGTAAGTCAATAATGGATTGGTTGTGTGCTCTTATGTCCACAATATCCAAATGGTCTTGTATTTCCATCAACTATTTGTAACTGACCTCCGAGCCCAGATGGGAACACAAGACTTTCTTGTTGGTAGTATATGGTTAAATGACCACCACCACCATACATTGTGTTATCATAACTTTAATGAATAAAAAAACACTTTATTCATGTTTAAATTGGGCTACAAACTACACATGTTTCATGCAAATGAGCATTAACCATATACTATGCTTTTTTAAACAATTATCTTTTGTGTTACCTTACTTATGTATTACATGTGTGGTACCCGTAATAGTATACTTTCACAACTACTGTATAAATGTTGTGGCCTGTAAGGACATGGGCAGGAAGTCCAGGTGGTATCCTACAAAGGATTTGTTCATTGTGTATTTTATGTAAAGGTTCGTCGTATTCGCATTAATATGCCAATATGTTTTTTTTTTTTTCAGTAAAACCTGTAAAAGTGTATTTCCCCTTTTTCAGTTAAATTTGAGAAAACCCCATTATATGTTTATTATTCATACAGGATAACTAAATTCTATTTAAAAAAACAAACATTTTTTTCCTTTTAGATGTTTCTTTGATGAAGGTCTTTGTACAGATTCCACGCTGCTTTTGAAAAAGTGAAAAAGGGACAAACTGAGGGACAGAATGCACTGCTTCTTATTAATATACACTGCTTCTAAGGAGGTAATTCACAAAGATGCCGAAGGCAGCTGAGTGAATAACCCAGCCGAAGTAAAGTGAGCCAAACAACGTTCGGCTATTCACTACGGCTCAATATGGCTGATTTCAGCCATACATCGGCAGAAATCAGCCATACATAGGCTGCCTTCAGCTGAGCTGAAGTGCAGAAGGACTTCGACTTAACCGGTCCAACATCTGGATCGGCTGAGCCAAAGCTTCAGCAGCTCACTCGCTACGGTTCACCCCTATTCTCATAGTGAGCCGAGCGGCATTCGGCTCGGCTATTCTGCTTGGTACCTCCGTGGTACCAAGCAGAATAGAAAATCAGTGAAAAGAGTTAAAAAAAGTTGAAAAATATTTTTAAAATGTAAAGAAAATAATAAAAGTAAAAAATAAATAAAGATATTTTAAAAAGAAAAATAACAATAAAAAAGTTGTTATTGTTTAATGACAGATCAGCATCCATAAGTCATTTGGGGAAGCTGATCTGTCATTACAACTGGGCAGAGCCAACCATGAGATCACAGCTGACTCCACCCAGCTGTCATTTGCGGGGCTAACCCGTTCGCCCTGCTTTGGCTGTCACTTCGGCTCAGTCGAGCCGAAGCATATGCCTGCAGCTCGGCCACCTTCGGCTGCTGTACGGGCTATAGTGTATAGCCCATACAGAAGCACTTCAGTTCGACAGAACCGAAGGGCTCCGGCGGCCAAAGAGAGCCGAATGATCAGCCGAAGCTACGCCTGGATCCTTCCGCTCCTTCGTGAATAACCCTGTAAGTCTTTAACCCTTTGTTAGTACAGACCATGTTTGAAACTAGTTTACAACTGATAATTAAATCTGCCAACACAGTACAGACAGGGTGAATTAGAGTAAACATAACTTCCCACCCCCCTCCTTAACATTACATGGGTGGCGCTAATTAGGATTTCTAACCAAGTAAAAATCACTTAAAAATGGAAGTAACAATTTTTTTATATTTTTTAAAGCCTAACTCTGCATGATTTATTAATTTGATATTATGAAAAGGAAACAGGAGGGACAAAGCTAAGCTGGGGGGGACACACCGAAAACTCTCAGGTGGACAGCAACAGAGTCAGGGATTTTTTGCAAGGAGAACTTACTGCCGGACTATCTAAGACATACAAGAAAATAAGGACTGACAATAGCTAAAACATCATTTTTGTTTGAATTGACTCTTTAAAGTATACGTAAAGGCATTTTTTTACTACTAAATAGAGTAGGGAAGGATTAGACCCTTTGTCCAATTTTTAATGCTGCCCGTGTTCCCGCTGGGGAGATTCACCCCTCTATGCATCCTGACGACTATTGTTACCAAAACAATTACAAAGCAAACATTTTAGTAGTTATCAGAAAAAGAGCTGAGTGAAAATCCTCCAGTGGGGTCACCTGTTCCTGTGATAACTGTCTGAGATAGAAATTCTGTTCTTTTTATTTCCTATTACATTTTCAGGGCAGAAAGTCAAGGGAAAGCTCACCAGTGGGAAACAGGCAACAAAAAAAACCTGATAGAGATTATAACCATTTCTTCTTTATATAAAAATTAAGTAGCGCAGTTCCAAGTTATCATTTATTTTAAGAG